CTTCTTCTTGGATTGATCCCTTGATCATTATGTAGTGTCCTTCTTTGTCTCTTGTAATAGTCTTTATTTTAAAGTCTATTTTGTCTCATATGAGAATTGCTACTCCAACTTTCTTTTGATTTCCATTTGCACGGAATATCTTTTTCCATCCCTTCACTTTCAGTCTGTTTGTGTCCCTAGGTCTGAAGTGGGTCTCTTGTAGACAGCATATATATGGGTCTTGTTTTTGTATCCATTCTGCCAGTCTGTGTCTTTTGGTCGGAGCATTTAATCTATTTACATTTAAAATATTTATCGATATGTGTGTTCCTATTACCATTTTTTAAATTGTTTTGGGTTTGTTATTGTAGGTCTTTTCCTTCTCTTGTGTTTCCTGCCTAGAGAAGTTCCTTTAGCATTTGTTGTAAAGCTGGTATGGTGGTGCTGAATTCTCTCAGCTTTTGCTTGTCTGTAAAGGTTTTAATTTCTCCGTTGAATCTGAATGAGATCTTTGCTGAATAGAGTGATCTTGGTTGTAGGTTTTTCTCTTTCATCACTTTAAATATGTCCTGCCACTCCCTTCTGGCTTGCAGAGTTTCTGCTGAATGATCAGCTCTTAACCTTATGGGGATTCCTTTGTATGTTATTTGTTGCTTTTCCCTTGGTGCTTTTAATATTTTTTGTTAGTATTTAATTTTTGATAGTTTGATTAATATGTGTCTTGGCATGTTTCTCCTTGGATTTATCCTGTATGGGACTCTCTGTGCTTCCCAGACTTGATTGACTATTTCCTGTCCCATATTAGGGACGTTTTCAACTATAATCTCTTCAGATATTTTCTCAGTCCCTTTCTTTTTCTCCTCTTCTTCTGGGACCCCTATAATTCGAATGTTGGTGTGTTTAATGTTGTCCCAGAGGTCTCTGAGACTGTCCTCAATTCTTTTCATTCTTTTTTCTTTATTCTGCTCTGCAGTAGTTATTTCTGCTATTTTATCTTCCAGGTCACTTACCCGTTCTTCTGCCTCAGTTATTCTGGTATTGATTCCTTCTAGGGAACTTTTAATTTCATTTATTGTGTTGTTCATCATTGTTTGTTTCCTCTTTAGTTCTTCTAGGTCCTTGTTAAACGTTTCTTTTATTTTCTCCATTCTATTTCCAAGATTTGGGATCATCTTTACTATCATTACTCTGAATTCTTTTTCAGGTTGACTGCCTATTTCCTCTTCATTTGTTTGGTCTGGTGGGTTTTTACCTTGCTCCTTCATCTGCTGTGTATTTCTCTGTCTTCTCATTTTGCTTAACTTACTGTGTTTGGGGTCTCCTTTCTTCAGGCTGTAGGTTCATAGTTCCCATTGTTTTTGATGTCTGCCCCCCGTGGGTAAGGTTGCTTCAGTGGGTTTTGTAGGCCTCCTGGTGGAGGGGACTAGTGCCTGTGTTCTGGTGGCTGAGGCAGAATCTTGTCTTTCTGGTGGGCAGGACCACATCTGGTGTTGTGTTTTGGGGTATCTGTGAACTTGTGATTTTAGGCAGCCTCTCTGCTAATGGGTGGTGTTGTGTTCCTGTCTTGCTAGTTGTTTGTCATAGGGTGTCCAGCACTGTAGCTTACTGGTCATTGAATGGAGCTGGGTCTTAGCATTGAGATGGAGAGCTCTGAGAGAACTTTCGCTGTTTGATATTATGCGGGGCCAGGAGGTCTCTGGTGGACCAATGTCCTGAACTTGGCTCTCACACCTCAGAGGCTCAGGCCTGACACTCGGCTGGAGCACCAAGACCCCGTCAGCCACATGGCTCAGAAGAAAAGGGAGGGAAAAAAAAGAAAGAATAAAATAAAATAAAATAAAGTTATTAAATTAAAAAATAAAAGAAATTATTAAAACTTAAAAAAATTAAAAAGTAATAAAGAAAAAGAAAGAAAGAGAGAGCAACCAAACCAAAAAACAAATCCACCAATAATAACAAGTGTTAAAAACTATACTAAAAAAAAAAAAAAAAAAAAACCCGGATAGACAGAACTCTAGGACAAATAGTAAAAGCAAAGCTATACAGACAAAATCACACAAAGAAGCATACACATACACACTCACAAAAGGAGAAAAAGGAAAAATATATATGTATATAAAAAGAAGGAAGAAAGCAACAGAATCAATAAACAAATCTACCAATGATAGGAAGCTCTAAATACTAAACTAAGATAAACATAAAACCAGAAACAACTTAGATGCAGAAAGCAAACCCCAAGTCTACAGTTGCTCCCAAAGTCCACCACCTCAATTTTGGGATGATTTGTTGTCTATGCAGCTATTCCAGAGGTGCAGGGTACATCAATCTGATTGTGGAGATTTAATCCACTGTTCCTGAGGCTGCTGGGAGAAATTTCCCTTTCTCTTCTTTGTTCGCATAGCCCCCGGGGTTCAGCTTTGGATTTGGCCTCGCCTCTGCGTGTAGGTCACCTGAGGGCGTCTGTTCTTCGCTCAGACAGGACGGGGTTAAAGAAGCAGCTGATTCGGGGACTCTGGCTCACTCAGGCCAGGGGGAAGGAGGGGTACGGAATGTGGGGCGAGCCTGCGGCGGCAGAGGGCCAGCGTGACGTTGCACCAGCCTGAGGTTCACTGTGTGTTCTCCCAGGGAAGTTGCCCCTGGATCATGGGACCCTGGCAGTGGCGGGCTGCACAGGCTTCCGGGAGGGGAGGTGTGGATTGTGACCTGTGCTCGCACACAGGCTTCTTAGTGGCAACAGCAGCCTTAGCGTCTCATGCCCATCTCTGAGGTCCGCGCTGATAGCCGCGGCTCGCGCTTGTCTCTGGAGCTCGTTTAGGCGGTGCTCTGAATCCCCTCTCCTCACACACCCCGAAACAATGGTCTCTTGCCTCTTAGGCAGTTCCAGAGTTTCTCCCGGACTCCCTCCCGGCTAGCTGTGACGCACTAGCCCCCTTCAGGCTGTGTTCACGCCGACAACCCCAGTCCTGTCCCTGGGGTCTGACCTCCGAAGCCCGAGCCTCAGCTCCCAGCCCCCGCCCACCCCAGCGGGTGAGCAGACAATCCTCTCGGGCTGGTGAGTGCTGGTCGGCACCGATCCTCTGTGCGGGAGTCTCTCCGCTTTGCCCTCTGCATCCCTATTGCTGCGCTCTCCTCCATGGCTCTGAAGCTTCCCTCCCACCACCCCCGTCTCTGCCAGTGAAGGGGCTTCCTTGTGTGTTGAAGCTTTTCCTCCTTCACAGCTCCCTCTCAGAGGTGCAGGTCCCGTCCCTATTCTTTGTCTCTGTTTTTTCTTTTTTCTTTTGCCCTACCCAGGAACATGGGGAGTTTCTTGCCTTTTGGGAAGTCTGAGGTCTTCTGCCAGCGTTCAGTAGGTGCTCTGTAGGAGCTGTTCCACGTGTAGATGTATTTTTGATATATTTGTGGGGAGGAAGGTGATCTCCATGTCTTACTCCTCCACCTTCTTGGAACTCTCCCCCTGTAATAACTGTTAATAAAGTATAATCTATAAAAATACTGAATCACTATGCTGTACCTGAAACTAATATAATATTATAAATCAACTATACTTGAAAAGCAAAAACCAAACCAAAAAAAAAAGCATAGAGTTGGGCTGTATAATACAACTTGATGTTCAATTTAAGTTCGAGAAAATACTTTCACTGATGGGTTTAGTCCCTTTACTTTCATTGTGATTGGCAAGATATTTAATTTTTTATGATTTTAATTTGTTCTTCTGATTTTTCTCTTTTATTCTCCTCTTCTGCTTTTTATTAGATTGTTATTTAAAAATAATATCCTATTTGCTGGTTTGAACGTTACACTTCTAATTTTTATTCTTTTAATTGCCAATACTCAGACTTTTAGAATCACCTAGAGTACTTGTTAGAACATAGATTGCTGGGCCCACCCCCAGAGTTTCTAATTCAGATCTGGGTTAGCCTCCAAGTATTTGCGTTTCTTACAAGTCCCCAGATAATGCTAATGCTGCCCTTCTGGAAATCACACCTTGAAAGACCGGCAGGAATTGGTGCTTACCAGCAGGTAAATATTAGCACCTGTACCCAATAACCATTCCTAGTTGACTTCCTAATTATTTTTGAATTCTTTTACTTGTTGAGTTCTCTACTTTCCCACCAGGCCAGCCATGCGTTAAAATGTTTAAATTTCATTGTACCCGATATTTTTAGGAGTGCAGTTCTCAGAGAAGTTTCTTTGACCATCTAATCCCATAATATTGCCAGGAACAGAAGCAGGACTGTAATTTCTCATAGGAGAATAATTTTTTCCCCCATTCTGAATGCTGAACAGAGAGAAACTTTCTTGCAAGTTTCTGGTCTGATGGCTGGAGTTTCTTTGGTCTCTTTGATATGAGGTACAGCCTTTACAGACTCCTGGCTGTAAGTAGCAGTTTAGCTCTGTGCCTTCTGTGAACCCAAGGCCATGTCTCCTGCCCTTGATAGGCAGTTCAAACTCCAGCTTTGAGTCTTGGGACATCAGCTTATGGCCTCCCGTTCTAATGAATATACTCTTCATTACTAGCACTGCGTGGTTTCCCTTGGCTGTGTTTGTAGACTTGGGGGAGGAGGATGTATTTCATTCACCCGTTCTATGTGTGTCATGGGGTGGAGTTTGGGGAAGCTATGTAATCTCAGTCCAACTGGTTGTCTTCTATTATTTTTCAGTTGTCATCTAGCAGAGAACACGGGGCATAGGGTCAAAAAGGTTTGAGAAGCAGAAAGTGAGTGGAAAAGAGAACCCTTTGTCTGGAATGCACGTGAGCTTAGGGACTTGGAGTTGGTAGCATATCATTAGTACTGGAGAATAGTAGGTGGCGCTGAATTGGAAGTAGTTGAAGGAAGGCACCTTGCTGGTGTTAGTTAACACTATAAATGAGGCCTGGGAATTTTAAAAGTTTTAAATTTTTACAAGGGCCAATCTTCCTTGAAATGTTTTTATTGTGTATAAAACACATGCTACTAAAATTTTTAAATATTTTTCTTTTGGAGTCATTCTTTTCTTAAATACTGACTTACCCTTCTTAGGTGTGCATTGACAACATATGCTGAAGAATATGCTCCACCGTATGAATATCAGCCACTTGTGAGTATAAGAGGGCTGAAAAGCCATATTCTAAATATTTATGTACTTAATATGATTCTTTACATGTAGTGTAAATAGTCATGCTTGAGGAGAAAGGACAAATTGCTGAGATTTATGATGTTTTATATTTATTCAGAGATATTAGCTATATGTGGGAGTTACTTAAATGGAATATTTTGTGGTTATGATTTACTTTGGGAATAAGTTTATAGATTTCAGGGAGAAAATATTGCAGTGTCCAAAATATATTACTTTCTTCCTCATCTTATTTTATTGTCCCCCTCCCTAAATTCAATTTATCTGGAATAAGAACCTACCTTTCTATTCATTTGTATTGTATTAGCATATGAAAATAAGTGGTTTAATTTAGCTCTGGGAAATATGTATGTTGATAAAATATGTCCAGCTTACAACTTCAATAAACTTGTACTTAAAAATTATACAACAATTATACAAAAGCAAAACAAGGCTGCTTCCTATTAGTCTTTTTTAGGAAGTCTTAACTGGTGCAATAGATAAGAGACTTAACTATTGAAAAAGAGGAGAAAAAAATCTTTATTTTCAGATAGTATGATTATCTTCTCAGGAGAACCAAGATGTTAAAATAAGTAACTAGAATGAATAAGACCAGTTAGTAAGCTGATTACTAAATAAATAAATGTATCAAATGTATCAAAGACAATATCTTTCCTTCATATTAGCAATAACTGCTTAGTAGGCTATAAAAGAAAAAACATGCAAACTACTATAACAACACAAATTTTAGATACTTTTATGAAGAAAATTCTAGATCAAATAAAGATTAATCATGAATATGTGGTAGATTGTCTCCAAAGATGGTGGACAGGCCACTTCCGCAGCAAGAGGTAAATGTTCCTCCACCTTTTGAATTTAGGCTGTCACATGACAGATTTGATCAATAGAACGTGGCAAAAGGAATCCTATGCCAAATCTAGGCTATCTTTAATAAGACTGCTTCCAACTCTTGGAGCCCTGAGCCACCATGTAAGAAATCTAGGCTACTCTGCTGGAGGGAGAGGCCATGAGAAGGAACACTGATGAGCTTGACTTATGAGCGACAAAGCCATCTTGGACATCCACCCTAATAAGCTTGGACTGCAGCTCCAGCTGCCATCTGACTGCAAACCATGAGAGATTCCAAGAAGATAATAATAAATTGTAACTGAAGGCATTAAGGTTTTTTTGTTGTTTTTTTTTTTGTTTTTTTTTAAATAAATATACACCGGGCTTCCCTGGTGGTTCAGTGGTTGGGAGTCCGCCTGCCGAAGCAGGGGACACGGGTTCGTGCCCCGGTCCGGGAAGATCCCGCATGCCACGGAGCGGCTGGGCCCGTGAGCCATGGCCGCTGAGCCTGCGCGTCCGGAGCCTGTGCTCCACAACGGGAGAGGCCACAACAGTGAGAGGCCTGCGTACCGCAAAAAAAAAATAAATAAATAAAAAAAATAAAAATAAAAATAAATAAATATACACCAAAGGTAACTAAGACAGAAATCTCAAATACAAGGGAATAACTACCATTTGAGGGGACTGGAAAACTAAATTATAAGTTAAATTTATAAATTTAATATAATTACATTAAAAATTCCAATGGATTTTGTTTTCTATCAGAACTCTAAGATTCTGAAAATTATTTGAAAGTATAAACAGATGAGAGTAATCACAAGTTTTTTGAAACAGTGGCATAACCAATTTAGGGAAGTAAACTGTTCATGATACTACTTTCGTTATGTTTAATCTTACTTATTTCTTCTCATTAAAAAATAGCATTCAAGCCATAAGAAAAGCAAATATGATGGCTTATGGATTAATATGCTTAATACATAAAGCACTCAAACCTATTGGCCGGAAAAATGTTAAAACCCTAGGGAAATGAGCAAAGGTCATATAAAGACAATTCACAAAGTAGGAAATTATTATTATTAACTAGCTGATAAATACAGGGAAAATCCCAATCTACAAATAATAGAATATATGAATTAAAGCAATAAATTTTTTTTGCTAATAAAATTGGCAATATTTTTTAAAATAATAATACTCAACTGAGTAAAGGTGGGATGAGATGGGTACTTTTTTCTATTGCCAGGAATATTGTAAATTATTTTAATCTTTCTGTAAAGGAATTTGGCGATATGAATTGAGATACTATTTGATCTAATAATTCTCCTAAGGATTTCCCCAAAGAAAAATAATTCATACCAGGGATAAAATTTATATCCAAAGATACTCATCATTGAATTATGTATTACAGCAAAACTTGGAAATTACCTAATGTTTTAGTATTAGGTGTAGTGCTCTAGGGATTCAGAATGAGCCTCCCCAAAATTTGTCACTCCTGCATGAGGATTTTTTTGAGTTAAAGACATGAGACCCTGTGTGTTCAAGATAACCTACTGTTCCTCCCTTAACTACCTAGAAGAATTTAAACTGGGAATTTTTCCCAGAAAAAAAAAAAGTTATTACAGAGATAAATTTGAGCTAAGTAGCCCCATCTGTATGGTAGGGCAAATGTCTAATTGCCAAACATCTGCTTTTCTTATTGTCTTGTGAAACCTCCTTTTCTTGGAAGCTCCAGGCCCCTATCCCATTCCTTAGCTCAGGATGACGTGTATACCTTATTTTACCTTTCTGTCTTTGAACCTCTTATGTATGTAGGGACTCTGACCTTCTCATGTATGTGGGGTTCCTGTATGTATGAAATTAAATTAGACTTTTTCCTGTTAATCTGTCTCATGTCAGTTTAATTCTTAGACCAGTCAGAAGAACCTAGAACTGTAAAGGAAAGTTTTTTTCTTCTCTGACAGTACTAATTAAATAGGTTATAATCACATGATGAGACATTTTATAGCCTTTAGAAAGTCCATGGATAGTTCTTACTGTCTTGATAAATCTTCTTATTTAAGGTCAAGAAAAACATTAAGATACAAAATTGTATGTGTATTTTATCCAAACTATGTAAAAGTATAGAGGAAAAAAGCCTGAAGAAACTGTCAAAATGCTAGTAAAGTTGACTAGTGAATGGTGAAATTCTAAGTGATTTTCTTCATCTTTATACTTTTCAGCATTTTCTAATGTAGTAAGCATGGTGGTTTATAATCAGAAAACCCACAAGGAAACAAATATATTATTTTAAAATGCAATTCAGGCTCATTTCCTTATATACATGGGATTTGGCTCCATCTCCAAACAAAAGGAAGTTGTAAGACACGTAATTAAAAACTCACAAAATTCAAAGGACTGGTTTCCCCAAGAGCATAAATATAAAGCATGTGCGATGTGTTCTCAGGGTGCATGAATCTTTAGCTATTGTGTTGTATATTTGTGCTTTATTTTTTTCAGCATTATTTCTAGTATTTCTCATGTTGCTTGTTTCCACATTAACAGCACAGCATGCAGCATGCACTGGCAGTTGTTTGGCTTTATTTAGAGTTTTGTTCATTCACTTCTAAGTTCTTTATCAAAGGAATTGATTTTGAGGCATGTTTTTAGCCCTGCTTCTAGCACCCCATTAATGAATGCTTGCATTACATTGTTATAGAATACAAAAAATATTTTAAATTGTAATGACAATGAATGGTTAAGTAACAGCAGAAGAGTGACTGAACTCTGACTTAGAAGTTACTGTGCACATAAACAAATGTATGATTCATAAAATACTGACAAAATAAGGAGAATATTTTTTACTTGCTAGAGACTTCACCATGTGGCCTTAGCATAAACATAGCTCACCATTCACTCAGGCTACCACCTTTGCAATTATGCAATTCCTGAAGAAATCTTAAAATATTCGTATTATTTTAAATTTTGTGCATGAATTGAGACTTTATAAATTTTTATATTATGGTCTCTTACATTTGCTTAATTCATAATTGCATAAAGTGGGATAGCATCATAAGAAGTCTTAAGGAGAATGCAAATTATCTCCCCATAGCTCTAGATGTGAATGAATAAATACAGAATATTAGGAAGCTATGAAATCATTTCCAAGGAGAGAAATGAAAGAGAATTGCAAGCTACTTCTTCAGAACTCCACCTCTTAAAGCTGGGTACAGTAAGTCACCTACATACAAACAAGTTCTGTTCCAAGAGCGTGTTCATGGTCCAATTTGTTAAGTCCAACAAAGTTAGCCTAGGTACCCAACTAACATAATTGCCTATATAGTACTGTACCGTAATAGGTTTATAATACTTTTCACACAAATAATACATAAAAAACAAATGCAAAAAATAAAGAAAACATTTAAAATCTTACAGTACAGTACCCTGAAAAGTACAGTAGTACAGTACAACAGCCGGCATACAGGGGCTGGCATCGAGTGAACTGGCAAGAAGAGTTACTGACTGGAGGAGGGAGAGGAGGTGGGAGATGGTGGAGGTAGGAGATGGTAGAGCTGGAGGATAGTCAGCAATAGGAGACGGAGGGCAAGCTGCAGTTTCACTCATGCCTGACATTGATGGCACAGGTTCTGGCTCCTTGCTGGATTCAATTCTATCTTCCCTCTTGAAAGACGATCCAGTGATGTCTGGGTAGTAGCTCTTTTTTTCTCATCATAGATGACACGGTAGCACTGGATTGCATTCTGAATGGCTGCTGCAAACTTCATGTACTGTTCTATGTTCGAGTCCTGTACCTCAAAAACTAACAGTGACTCCTCAAATAAAGAAAATCCCCTTGCCACTTCCTGTGTCGTGAATCTCTTCAGTTCTTCAGTTACTTCTTCTTCCTCTTGTCTCTCTTCGTCCTTTCTCTGGGCCTCCAATTTCATCAGGTAGGTCTTCATTAGTAAGCTCCTCGTGTTGCACAGCAACAGTGGTGGACAGTAAAGCACACAAAAGCACAACCACTTGTAGAGGAGGCACACACGTGACAATGTACAACAGGCACGTGAACTAATTTACATGAATGGACATGCAAACACACGTTCATATCTTTGAAAGTTTGCAACTTGCAGGTTCGTATGTAGGGGACTTACTGAACTTAT